GCTCTCACGGAGCCCCTCGGCCCACAGAACGTCAGCTCACTGCACCCGTTTAGTCACCGTCGGCGACCGCCTAGCGCTCTCGCAGTGACTCGAGGTGTACGGGGGAGTTCGCTGCGTCTGGGTGCGACTCAGCATAACTGCGCTGCAACCGCTCTGAGATACAGCCCGCCACACGCAGTGGAGTCCACCACCCTGTGGCCACCCGCTTGCAGTCAGCTCGTGGGCCAGCGCCCCGGGCTGTCCAGAGAAGGTGCAGGTCTCGGGTGGTTCCGGAAAGCAGCTGCGAGGGGCTGTGAGCACGAGACCCGGGGCGGGATGCCGCGTCAGAGCGTGTACGCGGTGCTCAGCCAGAGTACGGATGTGGCTCGCACATGTAAGACGGGAGAGGGAAACCCTCCTCGCCCACAGGTTCTCACGGTGGCCAGGCGCGCGAGCACAGGATGTCACGGGGGTAGCCGAAGCTTGCCACGGCCCAGAGAGAGGAGGCTTTGCTTTCTATCACAGTTGCATAAGTCAGATTTTTATAAAACTTGAGATTAAAAAGATATTTGAAACGTGCTAGCAGAGCTCACTTACAGAGAAAAACACGGGTAAGCTGCTAGTGACAGCAAGGCGCAGTGACACGGCCGGACCCACAGGCAGGTCCCGGGTTCACATCCCGGGGTCTCCCCATGTACGCGCATGTGGGCCACGCTCTGCAGCGGCTGAGGCCGGGGTGGCCCTCTCCTCTCCCAGGCACCCTCAGGGAGTAAGGAAACACTCGCTTTTACACCTCCACGATACCACGGCAACGGGATGCTTCTCATACACCAAGCCCTTCACGTCAGCTGGGTCCTGGGAGGGTTCTGTCTGCTAACATTCTAAATGAGGGTGCCAACAGGGGACCGAGACACCAGGAGGAAAGGCCGGGTTCCAGGGCAGCGCGGCCGTGAAATGCAGGGCGCCCTGAGACGGACTCACGGGAGGCCCCGGGTCCATATCCAGTGCACACCTGCCCGTGGCCCGGCTGCGCTGGGCCGGGCCGGGTCAGGGCTGGAGCGTGGCTTCAGGACTCACCGAGATCAAGGTGAAGGCCAGGGACAAAGGAGTTGAGGAAGAAGGAGGCGATGACGAAGCTGAGCACCGCCAGGCACTTGACGAGCAGGATGCGGTCGGATACCCTGTGCTGGGGAGAGAGGCTGCGTTGACTCGGACGGCCCCTCGGCCGCAGGCCGTCCTGCTCCGTGTGCCAGATCAGGGCCCTCCCCGTACAGCGGACACGACTCCCGGACAGGAAGGGAGACAGCAAGGCCGTGTGCCACGGGACGCTGAGGTCAGAACGGCAGCACAATCTTTGTCAAGAACCGCAGGGGCGTAAAACGCGTTCTTACAGAAGGGCAGTCCTTCCATAAAACGCCTAGCCACACGGCTTTCCCACGGAAGCCCTGGGGAGCGGGGCCCAGGGCCGCCCAGCTCAGAGACCTCTGGTGACCTGGCCTTCATGACACAGGGACCCGTGTGGTCACACGGTCTAGGTCGGCTTTGCCATTCCTGCCTGACCTGGCCGTGAGCACGGTGTGGAGGGGTAACACGTTCTCACAATGCTGTGACCCCTGCATGGGCTAGGCGTGTTCCCTCACGCGAGGCTCATGGGGACCCTAGGATGCAGCACTGCCACCCCTCATTGCGAGATGGCACCTGTGGGAGCCTGCCAGGCGTTGTCCTCTGCATCAGCTGGCTGGCCGCAGAGCCACAGGGTGAGGCGGGGTGCTCCCCTATGCATGCCGGAGGGGGGCTGGGCTCTGCGTGCCGCGGCCATGCGGGCAGACAGGGGGCCTCGCAGACGGCCAGCACCGCCCGCTGTCCCCACAGAAGCTCCTCATCTGCTCCAGCAACGCGACTGTCTGCTCGCCCCACAGGTCAGACAGGCAGACCCGACATGGACGCTTGTAGGAGAGCAGACGTACAGGCACCGGTCATCGTGGGTCAGTGACACCGCGCCCGGCAGAGAGGGAGGAACAGGCGGCTTCCTCTCTCGGTGTCTCTGGCCTCCCTACCCCATGGCTGTGGCGGCCCCTTGGGCAGCCCGGCCCACAGCCGAGATCGGCCGGCCTTCCTGCCCCGCCCAAGCCACGGGC